TTCACGCTATTGCGATCGTCAGGCAACTGAACATGAATATATATATATATATATATATATATATATATGTATGTTTTGGGTCAGTGCGTAAGCAACACTCGAACCCCCGACTATCTGGTTGAGGTTCAAGTTTCTTAAATCGCATTCGCAGAGTCCTGTTGCAGAAAAAACTATATAGGCATTGGAATTTTGATTGGTGGAAAATTAAAGGCATGTGGACTAAGTGCAAAAAGAAAGGTTCACAATGATTTCTCTGAAATATGTTCCGTATATTGTTAGATTTTTTTATTTCATGTCTTTTTATCTTATGTCGATGTGTTGTGTATGTAGGCCTAGATTTACAGTCAGAGCATGGAAAAATTAGATTTAAGTAGTGCATTTGTACGACGAGATAGTTAAATTGTGCATTAGGCCTACCACATATTATATAGAAAGTACCAGAATTAACTCTAAAATCAATTATTTTTACAGGAAAATGACACTCAAACACAACATGCTGCCGAGAGAATTTATATCCAGCCGGCCATTAACGCTCTCGTATCTCCTTCCATCGACCAACTAAGGATGAGCACAACGCGGGCGATTTATAGTGAAGATATTACCATTGTGACCGCCTATTTTGACATTGGAACGTTTCAGAAGGGTAATAAGAAACCACGAACATTTACAAAGAAAATGTACGAAAAACGTCTGGAAGAGTATGGGCGGCTGACGAATAATCTTGTAGCTTTCTTTGACGATCGACGAATTTATGAAAATTTCAAAAAGATTCGAGAAGCCCGAATGAGGAATACGAAACTGTTTCTCATTAATAGGAATGAAAGATTGAGAAGTTTCCAAATGATTGGTAAAGTGCGAGAGGTTTTATCATCTGACGGATATCCACAGTTCTCTCCTGATACAGTTGTACCCGAATACGGCTGTGCGATGAACGCGAAGTATGAACTCGTCCAGTGGGCCGCGAACGAAAATTATTTCAACACATCTTACTTTGCATGGTTTGATGGCGGCTTTTTCCAAAATCAAACCGACAGTCGTCCATTTACTTTGGCCACACCGCCGGGATTTGATCCATCGAAGGTCGCCTACGGTCAGATATTGCCACGGAATAGAAACCTATCCCCACGGCAGATTTTTCTGACCAATCAATATTGGGTCTGCGGATGCGTGTTTCTTGCTAGACGTGACGTCATGCAAAGATGGACGCAGTTGTACAGATCCTACTCGGAGGCATTTCTACGGCAGGGCTTGGCCAGCACAGATGAACAGGTCCTTTATGCAATGTTTTCTAACAAAATAAAAAAGCCACCAATTCGAATACAAATGTACTGGGAACGGCCAGCAGTAAATATATGGAGTGTCCTCGGTTATTTAATGAAAAATAACTGGAATCACCGTTTCGGATTCGCGTAACTTGGTGATAATTGCGGTAAGGCCCTATAAAAAAAATTATTAGTTTATCACCCGCTACCTCATCACTTTTGAAGAAAATCTGATTTTTTCCCCCTTTTTTTTCAATCAACATATATTTTTATTTCAAACGGTCCTTTTTCCATCTTTTTTCACTTGAAAAGCTCAGGATTTCTTGCAATATGTTTACTGGTACAACAAAAACATCTTTTTTAAATATAAATTTGATTCCACTCATGACTTTTTATATATGTGTCCCTAACCATTGATTTACTTGTGAACATCGGTAAATGGGGGCGGGGTTAGTAAAAAAAAAAAAAAAAAAAAAAAAAAAATTTCCCTCCCTCATTAGTTTTTATTCTTTGATAGTGTGATAAACTAATAATTTTTTTTATGGGGCCTAACCAGTGCTTTCACGTTTTGGTTGATGATGCTGGCCCCCTAGCGATTTTTTTTTCCGTACGAAACATTTGCATGAAACTTCACTCGGGCCATCTCGGATTGACTCGAGTGAGTACGATACGAGGAACAAGAGCAGACACTTCGCAATGTCGTGACGCTCGAGTTTTACTATTATTGCTCTTTCTATGTTTACCTACGGTAGGC